CCACAAGTACTAAAAACTTGTTTGGATCCATCTGGACAGGCTTCCAGAAAGTCAGTCTTAGCCCTAGTATAGACACATTTAAGTTTAAAGGCATTCACGTTTATAAGATGTGAAGGCCAACTATGATTCCTCAATATGTGGTATAAAAAGAACTCTTCTTTCTGGAAAATAAAGTTGCTTTCTCCAAAATACCTGCCTTCTTGGCTCTTTCTGTATCCCACCACGCCTCAGGATAGCTGCCTTTGTTTCTATGGAAAGAATTGCTTGAGCCCTTGAAAGTGAGCACATGTATACTCTCTTTGGAAGCCGTTTCCCACTTTCGACAACTTTCCTGCTGCGCTGGGACTCCTCTTCATAGCTCCTCTGACTTCCTCAGACATCATCACTGGAGGACAGTGGCAGCTGAAAATGTAACACTGTCTAAGCCATTAACTAGCCAGCAAGGGCACTAAGTTTTAGGAAATGGAAAACTTTGGCTAAGGCTTGCTCAGAACATTGTCTTAAAGCCAAAAAATGCTGCCAAGGTCCAGGTGGAGGCAGCTTTCCACCAGCCACAGACACGACCAAATCAGACAGGGCCTGCTTCTCTTCCAACTGGAGCGCCGGCAGCCAGGGTGGGTCATTTTCTCCACAGCAGCTTCGTCTCCCCAGACAGTGAGCTAATGCTTGGCACTAGCCAACTCCATAAAACAAGGCATTTGACCACATGCTTTGAGGAAGAAATGAGTACATGGAATATAGACCCCAAATTATTTAAATCAAGCCAAGTTTTTAAAATTCTAAAGAAAAAGAGAATAAAAATTATGCATACATAGTCATAACATTAGAACCCACTTGTGAACAGAGAACAAAGAAGCAATACCAAAACTGTAAACTTCCCTGAAAGAGCCCAATTCCAGAGGACATTTTCTTAGTAAAGAGATAATTCTATGGAATTATATGCAGAGCTGCCGAAAGCATGCTGTGAGAGTCCCTCTTCCCTATACAATGTCACTTCTATTTTCTGGTGTTTTCACCGTTTAAAATAAAAAAAACCTTTTTTCTATTTTTTTTTTTTTCATTTCGGAAATTTATTTTTGAAATAGGTGTTATGTTAACATGGGCCCTCCCACTCCTGGGGACAAGCCTTTCCCCTTCCCTCCCCAGAGGCCCCAGTGTTAGTAGTTTCTTGTGTATCTATTCAGAGATAGTTTAGCATATAAAAGCAAAACATAGATATGTACATTTCAGCCTTCTTTTTTATAGAAATGGAATGTTACAATGCTGTCCTGCATTTTGCTTTTTTTTGCACTCGTATTTAGAAACAGAACTTAACTTTGACGATGTATTTTAAAAAAGCAAAATTATATGTTCATTTACCTTTTGACCCAGCACATCCCATTTCTAAGAATCTATCCAAAAGATACATTGGTAAAAATACAAAATATTTTATGTAAGCTATTCACAGAGCATTTCAAAAGGAAAGAATGAAATGCCCACCAACAACTAATAAAAATGGTTACTGCTGGGAGAAGGAAAAAAACAGAGGGGACGAGCATGAGGGTGGAAGACCTCTATGAATGTACCTTTTAATTTTTTTAAATAGTTTTAACTTTAGAATCACATAAATCTTTTATATAATTTTTTAAAAATCCCCCCTAAAATTCAAAGTAAAATAAAACAAAATTAACTGTGTAAAGATTTGGAGCAATAACTAGAGAGGAACTATTTCAAGCGACTTTACAACACTTAACATTCCCTAGATCAGATTTCTCAGCCTCAGCACTCTTGACATTTTGGGCTGGATAATTCTGTTATGGGAGGTTGTGCTGTGCATTGTAAGATGTTAGCATCCAAGGCTCTGGTAGACTTCCTTGATCGGCAACCCTTTGCACATATTGTCATACATTGTTACTGGGAGAATTAAGTGCTGTGTCTGCAACTCCACTGGGAGAGTGTTTTAAAATGTAGGAGGAGGAGGCATGCTGCACCATAAGAAGCCACATGGGGAAGCAGCAGGGTTGGTCAGGAGGCAGGGGGAGCATGGGGGAAATGTGGGCAAGAGCCATCATTGTGAAGGGGAAGGAAGGGGCGGGGGAGGGTAGGCAGGCATGGGATTGGTCAGTTTGACTAATTTCAGTGGGCTCTGAGGCACAGCAGCTGCCCCCAGTTGTCTGGTACCTGGCCCTGGGGTGATCAGGACAGGTGGACAGTGGCCCAGAGTGAGAGTGCCAGAAAGAGGAGGGGGTTGGGGTAGGGGCTCTGGATTGGCTGTCTGCATATAAAAGGTGCACTCCCAGATGAGTCTCTTACTATCTCTAGGAATTGGCTACCCCTGGGAGGGGCTGTCTCTCCAGGGTCAGCAAGGCCCCAGATGTCAAAGCATCAGAAACACATGGTTAACACAGAGAGGACAACTAGAAGCTTGTGCCTGCTTTCTCCTGAACTTCACTCACACACCTTTTCCCTTTGCTGACTTTAATCTGTATTCTTTCACTGTAATAAATGGTAACTATGAGTATAACAGCCTTTCTGAGTTCTGTGAGTCTGTCTAGTGAATCATCGAACCTGAGGGTGGTCCTGGGGACCCTCAACACAGCTGCTAACACCATTAGGTGAAAGGGTGGTGAGAACTTCATAATGGGATAGAGAAGGCCACCGAACCCATTGTTCAATCACTGAGAGTGAGACAACCACATGTTACGTTCCTCTTGATAGGATGCACCAGAAGTATGCAGAATCACCTAAGAAGTATTCCTGCCAAATGAACTGAACCTGAATCTAATCAAGTTTCTCCATGTAACTGCATATTTATAAGACATGGGAGACAGAGGAATCTGTTATCAACACTAGAGGAAATAAGCAGCCAAAATACAGGATGGGGGAGATTCAAGAGGACAAATGACCCATTTGTTAAACCAACAGAAAGGAGAGTGAACTGTTACAGATTTAGTAGGACAAAAGACAAATCTATCAAATGCACTGTGTAGACTTTGTTTGGATCCTATTTTGAACAAATCAATAGTCAAAAGACATTTTTGAGACAACACGGGGAAACAGAACACAGGCTGCATATTAGATATTAAGGAATTATTCTTAATTTTGTTGGGTGAAACATGATGGTTAGAATTTGCTTTGGAATGCTCCAAGAAAAAAGAATTGGAGGGGAGGGGGAATAAATCAGATAACAACAGCATAAAGCTGATGGTTGTTAAGTCTAGGTGATGGGTACATGGGGGTCCACTGTGCTTTTCTATTTTTGTGTCTATTTAAAACTTTCTAGGGGCCAGCCTGGTGGCGTAGTGGTTAAGTTCTCGTGCTCCACTTAGGTGGCCCGGGGTTTGCAGGTTCGGATCTTGGGCACTGACATACACACCGTTCATGAAGCCATGCTGTGGTGGCATCCCACATATAAAAAACAGAGGAAGACTGGCACAGATGTTAGCTCAGGGACAATCTTCCTCAAGTAAAGAGGAAGATTGGTAACAGATGCTAGCTCAGGGCCAATCTTTCTCAACAAAAACAAACAAAAAAAACTTTCTATATCAAGTTAAAAAAAAAAAGAAAATGTATTTAAAAATTAGAAGCAGTTGTCAGTCAAATATAGGTTAAGAAACATTAGTAAAAACATGATCTGATTGGATGTATGAAATTTGAGAACCTACCAATTTGGCAGAGATGTACTTTTAAGGCATAGGTGAGATTCTAAACATGGGTTTTAAGAGATTAAAGTAAAATGTAGGCAGTTGGACGCCCAAGCACCACTTTTAAAGCTTTTCAGAAAAAAAATGCAGAGCCCAAGGTGAAGCAGCCTTTCATCTCTAGTTTTTAGGGTTTTCCCAAAACTAACCCTTCAAAATTTAGAGGTGTTTTTACATTTAGTTTTTTTGTGCAAATTTGACAAACTTACCATAAAATATAGAAATAAAAAGACATTACCCTCTTATATTCTCATATAAATCTTTATCTTTTAAAACAATCTCATGAGAGAGAGAGGCATAATCTGTGGATGAAAGCTCCTGCTTTGAGGTATCCTACGTGCTGTCATATGGTGGGATTTGGGGTCAGGCAAAAGGGTTTCTCTGATTAAAGCAGCATATGAGAGAGCCTGGCCTTCAGGTAGTGGTGTTTTTGCCTTTCTTTCTTGCTATCTAAAACGATTTCTTATGGAAAAAATTTCAAGGATAACTTGTTATGACAAACATGTATTACTTCTGTAATTAAAATTTAAGAACATATGTTCACATACAAACTTGTACATGAATGTTTACAGCAGCACTATTCACAATAGCCAAAAAGTGGAAACAGCCTAAATGTCCATCAACTGATGATTGGATAAACAAAACGTGGTATATCCATACAACTGAATGTGACTTTTATTCCATAAAAAGGAATAAAGTACTGATCCATGCTACCGATTCATGTTACAACATCATGAATCTTAAAACATATGCTAAGTGAAAGAAGCCAGTCACAAAAAACCACATGTTGTATTATTCCATTTATATGAAATGTTCAGAACAGGAAAATCCATAGAGACAGAAAGCAGACTATTACTTGTCCTTGGGGGGTTGAGGGGAAATGGGGATTGACTGCTAATGGACACTGTACTGTGTTGAATAGTGTCCCCAAAAATTTAGAACAAAAATGTTTTAAAATTGATTGTGGTGATGGTTGCACAACTCTGTGGAGATACTAAAAACCACTAAATTGTACACTTTAGTTATTCATTTTTGTGAGGAGATCAGCCCTGTGCTAACATCTGCTAATCCTCCTCTCTTTTTGCTGAGGAAGACTGGCCCTGGGCTAACATCCGTGCCCATCTTCCCCCACTTTATATGGGACGCCGCCACAGCATGGCTTGCCAAGCAGTGCATCAGTGCGCGCCCGGATCCGAACCAGCAAACCCCGGGCGGCCGCAGGGGAGCATGTGCACTTAACCACTTGTGCCACCGGGCCGACCCCAAAATTGTACACTTTAAATGAAGGTGAATTTTATGGTATGTGAATTATATCTCAATAAAGCTGCTATCGAAAAATATTTAAAGCTATTAAAAAAATGATGAAGAACTGACAAGGATCGTGAGTAATCCCAACATGGAGAGCTTCCATATTCAGTCAATAATTTAAGGTGTGAAGAGGTTGAGAGTTAAACATTAGATGTTAGTTAAAACACAATTGGTTGCTAGATCTGTTGCTGACTTGCTACAGGAGACTTGGGCCTTTTAGACAGAACTCTTTCTGTTGAAAGTCATAGAAAACCATCTCGAACAGGCTTACTCAAAACAACAACAGGAACTGACCTCATATAATTGAAGTCCAGGGTGGGCACTAGCTTTAGGCATCCAAACAAGGTCACTAGAGCTTTGATTCTCTTGGTTGTTTCTTTCTTGATTGCCTTCATTCTCAAGCTGGCTGTCTCCATCCGGGAGGCAAAGGCAGCCATAAGCAGTCCCAAGATTACATGCCCCTTACTGCTCCTGATACAAGAGGAGAATCTCTCCTGGTAGCTCTGGCAATAGTTCCAGGACTGTCCAGGGCTGGCTCACACTCCTGGAGCCAAGGAGTAAGGTTCACCTCAACCAAGTCCCATGGATAGAGCAGGAAAGAGTGGCTCTCGGAAGGAAGAAAGACTGGGTATACAAAATATATGTGCCAGGCAAAGCTCTAAAACTTGCAGAGATTCAAACATCATCTCAGCCCAATAAATATTTGCCGAATCAATGTAGGAACACATAAAATGGAGCTACTACAGAGTACTTTTAAAGCATCACGTCCCAAATTCTTATTCCATACTTTAGAGAAGCAATAAAACACAAGTTAGGATGGATACCAGGGCCATTAGTGAGATGCTATTTTAGCAGAGAGCTACTTCAATAAACTACAGATTGTTCCGTGTTCTGGAATTCCATCCATTTTACACAGAAGAGAGATGTTGCTCTGGTAGATGGCACACTTTTTTCCTGACTCAGCCACAACAAAAGCTAAGACTTGTCCAGCATAAAGGAAGACAGCAGTCTGGTACGAAGGGCTGAAAACACACTGCTACCAGTAAGTTCTCTGCAAACTTTCTCTTCTCATTTAAACTGGTGATAATCTGGTGGGTTTCTGATCCAGGATCCAAATGCCTGCTTCCGGAGTGCGCTCCAGGCTTCCTGGTAAGCAGATGCAGCCTCCTTGTACTCTTGATACGTCTCTAGCTTCTGCATCCTAATGCACACACACCACCAAGCACACAGGTTCTCACTGAACAGCTCACCACTGTGGCCAACAAGACACCTGAGCAATCAATTGGACAGACTTATACAAGAGACTTAGGAACTGAGGATTTTGGTACGCTTTCCTAGAGCGACTCTGCCTCCTTTGTAGGGAATTCACTAGAAAGCAACATGGATTAAAACAGGTAAGAATAAACAGAACGCTGGTTGTGTCTGATCCTGGTGTAATCAGACAAAACAAGAATAATTGTATCTACTTTTTGGTTTGAAGTTTTCTAAGCATCTATAATTTCCACCAGAGGATCTAGCCATTAGAAACTTCTTGGCTGCATTTTCCCTCAGTAAACCAAGGCACTTTCCATCTTATCCATATACTATACTCCTATGTACTGCCAGCCAACACCCCTTCCCAAATCCCTTAGCTGTCTCTGACTGCTAAAGAATGGCTGACATGCTGAGTAATATTTTTAATACATATATCCGGTAAAAGATATTCTTGTGACAAAGACTCTCTCCTTTGGCCAAACTTGAGTCAGGTTCCTCTGAGCCCTCTTCTCAGCTTGGCCCCAACCTTGAGCTCTGTCCTTGCCATCTTATAGTTGAAGAAACTGAGACTCATGTCTTACTGATCCAATTGCATCCTGCTTCTACTCTTTCATTCTTCGCCAACACCTGAGGAGACCAAGTTGATTCTTAGCTCACTTCAGCACCAAGCAAAGTTGCTAAGCATAGCAAACAAATGTTTGATCAATTCCTGCAGTTTTTTGATGGTTAATGGGTGGGATCCACACACTTGACAATGTTAAGTTTTACTTGAGCCCTGTGTTCCTAGAAAAGAGCTACGGTTAAGAAGTCGCCCTCCCACTCTTCTGTGTTCTGGGGAATGGCTGACTGCAAAGAACTGCCCTTCCCTATGACTCAGATTAGATTCGTGGATGCCCCCCTTGCTGACTATGACACGGCCAGACAAAGACCCTCCAAATTCCCATTCTTTGTCTCATAATGGTTAGCTGAACTGTTTGTATCCACTGACCTATGTCGACAAAATATTAGTTATGCTTCTCTCCTTCCCCCAGACCCCTGAACTTTGACCCACCCCAGGCTGAGCCAGCATCAGCATGTGTAACAAGCCCTCCTTAACAGCCCCTCCGGAGAATCCACTGACCCCAAGGAAAGACATTTACTGCTCAACTGTCCCATCACACCACCTGCTCATCCCACTCCCCCACTCCAGGTTCTTCCTAGCCTTGTTTACCCCTCCCTAGGAAAGAAAACTCCTCTGTCTGCCCTTTGGGAGGCTCACAGATCTTACGACTGGAGTCTTCTCCCAACCACATTAGCACTCCTCCTCCTGTTGCAGTAGTCCCTTTCTCTTACTGCAGTAATTCTTTTGAATAAAGTCTCTCCTGACTTGAGGCCAGATTTGTGTTTATTGACACACAGAATGTATGGAAACCCACCCAGTTCCAGTTTGATTCATTTTTCCAGAGAAGAAACAAGCAAACGGACCACAGATGCCTGGAGGGCATCAGTACTGACTAAGTGTTCATCATGGTGACAACAAGTGGCTAGCCTCTTCATATAGCAGTTTCCAGTTACTCCTTAGCTTCCCCACTGTTGTAGAATAAAGAATTTGGCTTTATTTAAGGTCTTGATTGCCAATTCCTGGGAGGGAACCTCTAAACGCTTAGGATTTCCCAAGTGATAGGAACGTCTTTGTTACTCATGGTGGATCCCTCAGACCACACAACAAAGTGACTCATGGTGAAATGATAGTTTCAGGATGGAGTTGATCATGCCAGAAAGACCAACCACGGGATTAGAGAGCTGAAGCTTTGAGCCACCTGATATCAGTCTGACCTCCTAGGGGGGGAGGGGGAGATGGAGATTGAGTTCAGTCACATTATGTGGCCAACGATTCAATCAATTATGCTTATTAATGAAACCCCCATAGAAAACCCTGGACCCTAAAGCTTGGGTCAGCTTCCTGGTTGGTGTCACACAGTGATGTGCCGGGAGGATGACACACCCTGAGGACACAGAAGCATTGTGTTTGGGACCCTCCCAGACCTTGCCCTATGTGTCCCTTCTTTTAGCTGGTCCTGATTTGTACCCTTTACAATAAAAGGTAATTATAAGTATAGGGCTTTCCTGGGTTCTGTGAGTTGTGTTAGTGAATTATCGAACCTGGGGGGGTAATGGGAACCCCTGAATTTGTAGTCAGGTGGTCAGAAGTGTGAGTTGCTTGGGGCCAGCGAGCTTGCGGCTGGTGTCTGAAGTGAGGGCAGTTTGTGGGGACTGTGCTCCTACCCTGTGAAGTTTGGCCTCACTCTGGGTAGCTAGTGTCTGAATTGCAACCACCCACCTGCCCATGAAGGGGTTTTATAGTTCTCTACATTCCTGTCTGGAGCGCAATTTAAATCGTGGAGCTGTAGTTCACAACCACTGATGTGAACAAAAGTAAAAGAGATGATAATAACGTTCCTGACAGAATATATTGCTCCCCAAGCACTCACATTTCCATAATGCTCTCCATCTGGAGGTGGAATAAAAGGAGGGCCTTGAACAGGCCAAGCCCCAATTCTACCCTTAGTCTCCTGTGACTCTATACCACCAAACTACCCATCCTCCACACCTCAGATCACACGCAATCTGCAAGTGGGCTGTGGGGACAGAAGAGCATGTGGTCAGTAATAAATGCCTCCCGTGGCTCACTGAACTACCTCTCCTGCCAAAGCTTCCCATCATTTATAAGCCAGAACTAGACCCCAAGTCTTCCTAAATATGAAAGAACACGGGTCAATAGCGTCACCTGAGGGAATCAGGCCACTTGTCCTCTGAAATACTGCTTAGCAGCTTCTGGAATGATCTAAAGAGTTCCACTTTGCTGATGCGGGATCTGTTTGGAAAAAGAAGACAAAGAGGATTTATTAAATGTTTACTGTGTACCAGGCCCCTATCAAAGATACCAGGCTTCACATGTTGTTTAGGTTTGAACGTCCCAGAGCCCCCATTTTGACCTGTGCTTGGCAAGGAGAAAATACAGACCTGAGTGTCTGATTAAGTCGAGGCACAAAAATGAATCTCATCTTAAGAAATGTCATCAGTGGTAAAATCATCAAGGTGACAGGCTCAAATAGGGTAAAGATGGAGGTGGGATTATGAAATTTCCCCCCAGGATACCTATCAGCCATGTTGGGCTACCTTCTTTCAAGGGAGCTGGCCCCTATGGGTAATATTGCTTACAAGAAATTGAAAGCTTTGTTTCAGAGACTTGAGTGCTGTTTCTCGTGTGAACTGTGGTTATAAACTCCACTTGCACGAGCCACCTGAGGCAGAATCTCCAGACTTTCTCTATGGGCATTATGGGCTTTCAGAGGCCAATCCTTTGCATCTAACATCAAGCTTCATGGAGGTCACAGTTTGGAACAGTGAAGGAAGTGTGTGGATTCCTTATCAGCCCACTTGGGCCTTCCTGGTTTCGCCCATCCATGCTGGCTGTGGCCTGGACTGAATGAGCCTCCTTCATTTCCTTCATGTACACAACTCATGAGCTGATCTAGAAGCTGGGAACTGTCATGTGTACCAACTACACAGGGGGTCTCATCTTTGCATACCAGAACCTTCACTGTCCTCACAAATCATTCCATCAGCTCAGACACAGTGGCCATAACTGGTGTATATGCATTAGAGGATTGTACAGTCTTCCAAAAAGCTCCCTTACCTGGTGGGACCTAGCCTACTGCAGGAATCACTGCTTAAGGGGGAACCCTGAGCCCCACATGCCACTCTTCCTGGGCCTTAACTGTGCTAGAGTGGCTGCTGGCACTCAGGAATATAGGGTGCTTTAACATAAAAAAAAAAAAATCAAAACACCCAAACCAAAAAACTAATGGAACTCATTTCATTAACAGATTAAAGGAGAAAAGTAATATAATTATGAGGAAAATATATGCAGAAAAAGCATTTGTGAGAATTCAACATCCACTGAATAATTTAAAATCTTTTAGCAGACTAGGATTAGGAAAGATAGCTTTTAAATTCATAAAGGGTATCTAAAAAAAACCTACAGCAAATATATGTCCTTAAAATCAGGAATAAACAAGTGTAGTTGCTGTTCACTTCTTTTCTCGAACATTATACAGAAGGTCCTGGCCAGTAAGACAAGAAATAAAAGGAATAATGATTGAAAAGCAAAAACCAAGGTTATTATTTACAGATGATGGTGATACTGTCAGTTCTAGCCACCACAGTAAGGCAAGAAAAAGAAATAAAAGGAATGGAGGATTGGCAAAGAAATGCTATTTGCAAAAGATTATCTACATTAAAAATTTCCAAAAGAATTTCCAGATAAATTAGTAGAATAATGAGTGTTAGCAAGGTTGCTGGATACAAACATTAATTGCAACAGAGAGAAACAAAAAATTGATTGCAAAAGCAATGACCAGAAAATGAAATAAAAGGAAATTACTTAAAATAGCATCTGTGGTAGCCAACCTCCAAGACGGTGATTCCTGCCTCCTAGAATTCATGCCCCTGTGCAATCCTCTCCCACACTGAATAGAGCTGACCTGTATACCCATTAGGAGATCGCAGATGGAGCGTGACTTCTGAAGCTAGGTCATAAAAGACACTGTGGCTTCTGCCTTGCTCTCTTGAATCATTTGTTCTGGGGGAAGCCAGCCACCATATTATAAAGATGAATACTCGTAGCCTTATGGAGAGATCTAAGTTGTGAGGAACTGAGGCCTCCTACCACAGCCAGCACTGACCTGTCAGCCACGTGAGTGAGCCCTTCTGAAATCGGATCCTCTACCCCTACTCAAGCTTTCAGATGAGTGTGGCCCTGGCTGATATAATGGACTGCAACCTCATAAGTCCCTGAGTCAGAATTATCCAGCTAAGCTCCTCCCAAATTCCTGACCCACTGAAACTGTGTGAAATAATAAATGTTGATTGTTGTTTTAAGCCACTAAATTTTGGGGTATAATTTGTTACACAGCAATAGATAACTAATACAACATTCAAGGAATAAATCTAATAAAGATGATGTGAAAGATTTATGTGAAGAAAATTATAATACTTTATTGAAATATATGTAAGACTTAAGCTATACATACGTAACTTTTTAAAGATTATACATTCATACTGATATTTTCAATCTAGCCCTATCTTTACTCTAACATACTTAGATACACTTAGGTTGTTTTTTAAAATCTCTCACCCTTTTCTTTTATAATCCAGTAAGCCATGTAATGATCTCTCCAGGATACTCTGGTATCTTGACCGGAATGGGAAGAGGATTTGCCTCTTCAGGGCAAAGAGAATTTGCCTATAAGAGGCAGAGCAAAATTAAGCTTCTTAGCAATAAGCGTCCTTTGTATGGTTCCTTTATCTCATTGTTTGTAAAAAAAAAAAAAAAAAAAAACCCACAAAGACTTAAATAAAATATTTCCTTCTAGTGTTGCACTAGTATATTAAATGTCTCTAACATCTCAGCCTGAGTTCATATTCCCCATAGTTCTAAAGAAGGTGGTGCCAGGATGCCAGCACTCAGGAATGCAGTGAGAAAACCTGCTTTCTTCCTGCAGCTGTTGGTCTTTACAATGAAAGTGACTCTGACTCTTTCACACATAATTTGAAGCTTCATTTGATGATTGAAGGGGAAACCAATCTTAACAAGGTGTCTATTGAGCCCTGCACCATGTCAGAGGCACATTCTTCTCATTCAATTCTCACGACATTCCTGTGTGACAGATACTCTTAGTTACCCTTGCCTTATCATTGGGGAGATGGAGGTGCAGAGAGGTAAAGTAATTTGCCCAAGTTCACACAACTGGGGAGAAAGGGAGCCAGGAATTAAACACTGGTCTCTTGAACTACAAAGCTTCTGCTCTTTCCACTATGTATTTCCCCCTGTATGGTGTCTGCCTTCCAAATGAAGAGACATCCACAACATGTCAGAGACCTCAGATTACCTACTCTGATATCGTCGTTTTACAGACATGAACACACTGAAGCCCAGAGAACAACTAGACTTGTCCAAAGTCACCCAGATACCTGGAGACAGAGCCAGGGTGAGAACACGAGGCACTCCCAATCACACAGAAAGCGCTGACATATTAGGACAAGCTGGAGAACAGCACTATAGGGATTTGGAGAAAAGATGGTAATTTTGAGCCAGAAGGCAGTGGTAGTTGAGCTGAGCTTTTGAAGTAAAGGAGGATGTGTGAAGAAGAGCATTTTAGGCCTCAGCAAAGCAGCAAACGGAAGACAGTCAGATGGGTGGGGTCAGTGTGAGTTACTGCTAGCCTGTCACTGACAGGAGAGACAAGGCTCAGCAGGAAATGCGGTCCCTGTCCCTCATGACTTGCTCTGCTCACAAACCCTGGTCTGTGGCTAAGAGTTGGCCCCTTGGAGGTGCAAATGGTGGCCAGAAGCCAGGAAGGTCCTTGAGGAAAAACTGGTCCAAAAATCTCTACCCCCAACAATTTTGTAAATATTACTCAATTCAATAGCCTAGGCCACCAGGAGACAGGCCGGGTCTTTCATCTAGGCTGTTTGAACCCCGGTCAGTGGCTGTGACGAACAAAACTTTTTTTTTAAGTCTGAAAAGATGTAAGTTGTCATTGTTGTTCGTGTTGAGGCAGGCAAATAAGCACGTCAAAAAGAAAAGAAACAAGTCCATCTGTGAACTTTAATTACAACACAACTTTTTATAAGGGTGTAGTAAGAAATGGAAAAGTGACTTAGAATGAAAAGGACTACCTGTACATTGTGGGAGTCCTACAACAGTCACTCAGTGGCAGCTCAATCCAGACTGAGACAGAAATGCCTTTGGTGGAGAGGCTGCTCCCCAACAGCCCCTCCCCTCCCACCTTCAGGCAGCCCACCTGCGGCTCAGTGGGAGGGAAAAGCAGGGTGGTTGAGATCGGCTGAGCAAGAGAAGAAACAGCAAGGCAGATGCGTGAACCTCCAAACACACAAGGATGAAACCCGAGTCCAGTGGCCCACAAGCGCTATACCTCAGTAAAAGTCAATTTGAAGACACAAAGTCCTATTTCCATGGTGCCCTTTTTGCTAGTCCAAATCACTGTGGAGTTTCATAAATGATTCTTGGGTTCCAACCTTGACCTACTAAACCAGAATCCCAAGTGGCAAAGCTCAAGAAAATGTTCTTTTTAAAATCTGCCAGGGGAAAGAATAGTCTTTCCAAAAAAAGGTACTGGAATAACTGAATATCCACATGCAAAAGAATGAAGTTGGAGGGCCGGCCCCGTGGCTTAGCGGTTAGGTGCGCGCGCTCTGCTGCTGGTGGCCCGGGTTCGGATCCTGGGCGCGCACCGACGCACTGCTTCTCCAGCCACGCTGAGGCTGCGTCCCACATACAGCAACTAGAAGATGTGCAGCTATGACATACAACTATCTACTGGGGCTTTGGGGAAAAAAATAAATAAAATTATTAAAAAAAAAAAAAAAAAAGAAGAATGAAGTTGGATCCCTACCTCATACCTTATAGAAAAATTAACTCAAAATGGATCAAAGTCCTAAACATAAGAGCTAAAACTATAAAACTATTAGAAGAAAGCACAGAGTAAATCTTTGTGACCTTGGATTAGGCAATGGTTTCTTAGATATGACACCAAAAGCACAAATCACTAAAGAAAAAAATAGATAAAATGGACTTCATCAAAATTCAAGACTTTTGTGCTTGAAAGGACACTATGAAAAAGTGAAAAGACAACCCACAGAACTGAAGAAAATATTTGCAAATCTCTATCTGATAAAGAACTATTATCCAGAGTATATACAAAGAAATCTTGCAACTCAATATAACCTACCAAACGGGAGAAAACATTTGCAAATCATGTATCTGATAAGGGGTTAATATCCAAAATATATAAAGAACTCATAAAACTCAACAGCAAAAAAACCCCAGTCTGATTAAAAAATGGGCAGAGGATCTGAATAGACATTTTTCTGAAGAAGACATGTGGACAGCCAACAGGTATATGAAAAGATGCTCAACGTCACTAATCATCAGGGAAATGCAAATCAAAACCACAATGAGGTATCACCTCACACCTGTTAGAACGGCTATTATCAAAAAGACAAGAAATAACAAGGGTTGGAGAGGATGTAGAGAAAAGGGAACCCTGTGCACTGTTGGTGGGAATGTAAATTGGTGCCGCCACTGTGGAAAACAGTATGGAGGTTCCTCAAAAAATTAAAAATAGAACTGAAATACGATCCAGCAATCTCACTTCTCGGTATTTATCTGAAGAAAACAAAAACACTAAGTTGAAAAGATATATGTACCCCCATGTTCACTGCAGCATTATTTACAACAGCCAGGATGTGGAAAAAATCTAAGTATCCATCAACGGATGAATGGATAAAGAAAATGTGAGATATGTATATATATATATATATATATAATGGAATATTATTCAGCCATAAAAAATGAGGAAATCTTGCCATTTGCTACAACATGGATGGATTTTGAAGGCATTATGCTAAGTGAAATAAGTCAGACAGAGGAAGACAAATTCTGTATGATCTCACTTATATGAGGAATCTAAAAAACAAACAAAAAAACCCAAAAAACCAAGCTCATAGATACAGAGAACAGATTGGTGGTTGCAAGAGGTGGGGGTTGGGGGTGAGGGTACAAATGGGTGAAGGGAGTCAAAAGGTACAAACTTCTAGTTATAAAATACATAAGGCGTGGGGATGTAATGTACAGCATGGTGACTATAGTTAATAATACTGTAATATAGGGCCGGCTCCGTGGCTTAGCGGTTAAGTGCGCGCGCTCTGATGCTGGCGGCCCGGGTTCGGATCCTGGGCGCGCCCCGAGGCACCACTTCTCCGTCCAACGTGAGGCCGAGTCCCACGTACAGCAACTAGAAGGATGTGAACCTATGACATACAACTATCTACTGGGGCTTTGGGGGGA